TGTGTTCGTTTCCTCAACCTCTACTCTTGATATACTTCTCCGTCCTCCAATCATCTCAAGTAACACGATCCCGTAGCTATAAACATCGGATTTCTCCGAAATCCCGTGTTCTAGAAGCCACTCTGGGGCTATATATCCGCGGGTGCCGCGGATATCCGTCACCACTCTGCTCTCATCTCTAGCAACAAGCTTAGAGAGTCCGAAATCGGTTACTATCGCTCGGTAATTCTCGTCGAGGAGAATGTTTTCGGGTTTAACATCTAGATGCAATATCTTCGATCTACAATCATGGTGAAGATAAGCAAGTGCTTTAGCTACATCAATAGCTACTTGATACCTTTGGTCCCAAGACAAACATCCACCAGATCTTCTACTTCCTGATCTCTCCGGGAAAATCCAAAGATCGAGAGACGAGTTTACGATATACTCGTAAACGAGGAACCTCGGTAATCGATTTGGAGAAATCGCCGATGAATACCCGTAAAGACGAACTAGATTCTTGTGCTGCACGGAAGCTATAGCAGCTACTTCAGATCTAAACTCTCTTTCGCCTTTTTCTTCTCCTTCGATTCTCTTAACCGCGACTTGACTTCCGTCTCTTAAAACTCCTTTGAAAACAGAACCGGAACCGCCTTTTCCGATCAGAGATCGGAATCCGTCGGTTGCTTCTTCGAGATCTTCGAGCTTGAATTTGGTCGGAACTCCGGCGACTTTTCTAAGGAAACTGTACTCGATTCGGAGCTCTCTGCCTTCGGAGACGAATTTAGATACTAAGAGATTTCTCTCTCTGTTGTATCGGTTTCGGATTACGAGGAAACAGATCACGGCGAGGATAAACGAAATGTCGACGCCGGCGATGAGGTAGAAAGTTTTGGAGAGTTTTAGAGAAACTCGTGCGGCGATTATCACCACGAGAAGGGCTATGATTGTTATAGTAGCGATTATGTTTGCTTTCTTGTCCTCCATTAGAGAGGGGCTTTAGGGCTTCGATGACTTCATTTTCTGAGGAACATGGTGTGACTCGTGAACAGAGAGAACAAAGGAGAGGAGATATTTCGAATTTGACCAAAGTTGTATTTTATTTTTTCTGTTTTCTGATGAATATAATACAAATGTTTTAAGTTTATTGATGTCGCTATCAAGATTCCGTATATGTTGATTTTTGTTTGAGTGATATTTTAAAGATATTGAAATTATAGATAATCAAAACCGAAAATTAGATAATATTGAGATTTGAAATAGTATTTTGATGAATTCATGGTCAAATATAATACATGTAGTCCTGACTTATAGAGTCGTGTACAATGTAGAAATTCAAATATACAGAGGTTAGGTTTGTAATAAATTATGAGAAAAGCAGCCAATAAATAGCATCTCCAAGTTGTGTGCCAAGTTGTATTGTTTTTCAATCAATCGGATTGGTTTAGTAACAGTACTGAAAAATATTCAATTTCGTTTGGAAAATCTGGCATGTCGGTTAAACGGATTAAACACTGAGTAATATCATATGAAAAAACACTCCGTGATCAAAATAATAATAATTATTTGTGTGCATTTGTTGACTTTGAAACTGCTGAAATGGAATAATTTTAAATATTAGATATATGTCTTGATGATCGATGACTAACGTTCCTCATTTATATTTTTTTGATAACTTGGGTTTGAACCGTAGCCATGAAGAATTATGTCATTTTCTCACCTTCCGTCGATTTTATCATTTGAGAATAAGGAATAAGTAACTTCTGTGGAATTAAACAATTCGAATCGAGTTAAAATGAGTGTCTATCTCATTATTGACAAAAAAAATGTATTCCATTATTAATATTTGTTTTGTTGTCATATTGTGGTTACGGTGTTTTATTCAGTCAACGTTTTGTTGTCGTTAGTTAAAAACCTTTTTGGCTTTCCATCTTTTCATTCATAACATTAAGTCAACGGAAATTAGCCATACGATTGGTTGACGCCCAAAAAAAAAAAAAAATGCCATACGATTGGTTGACGACTTTAAGCTTCGATCTCTC